CCAGGGCTACACCCACCCCCCTTTCCCTGTGAGAACACCGCCTTCCAGACCTCCTCCATCCTGCAAGCGGCGCAAAGGAGCGCCACAGGTCAGAGGTCCCCCAAAGCAGGACAAGCAAAGGGGGGCGGAGGCAGGCCGGGCTTGCCGCGGGACTTGCAGCCACAGCAAGCCACCAAAGGGAGCCCCCGTGGCTGCCCAGCCTGCCGCCACTGGCACCACTCGGGCCTTGTGGGGCTGTGGGAGATGGCTGTGGGGCAGGCGAGCCGGGAGACTCTGGGGCGCTGTGCTCCAGGAGACCTGTGGTCGCCGTTCGTCCACCCAGCCATTCACGCCATTTATGTATTGCTTGAAAGGATCTCTCCGCTGCCTCCCAAAGCAACATCCACGTAAGAACAGCGAGTGTTCGGAAAAGCGACAGACCCTGCTGAAAGGAGGGCTAGGCACAGCCGCGTCCCCTCGATGGCTCCGGCTGACGCCGTCGGCACTGCATGAAGTGGCGTCGGTTGTGTTTTTCATCTGTGGGGTTGCAAACACGCTCGGGGCCCGGCCATCCTGCGTGCGCAGACGATGGATTCAGGGCTCAGGGCTGGCTGGGCGCTGCAGGAGCCTCCTGCCTGATCCCCGAGGGCCAACGCCCCAACACGACCCAGACGCATCGTCTTCCATGCCTGGGATATCGTGCACTTTCAAGCCAGACAGCAACTTGATAAAATGGGCTGGGCTACGAGAGCAGAGCTGTTAAAAGGATTATTAAATAGAAGGAGAGGCACTAAAGATAGTTATTCATTTCAGGGGGTTTTGCGGGGGGCATTTCTCAGCTCTCTGGACAGTTTATGAAGATTAAAATCCTAAAAATACATGAAACAAACCATACATGCACAACCATAAACAGAGAACGCACGCACACACACGCACGCACACACACCCCTAAACCAGTGTTAAATGACCAAGAGCAATCCAGGGTCTGAGTGAAACCTTGCTGCCAAATGCCTTGGGACACAGTCTTGGAAGAGTTATACTGGAAGAGCTGGCAAGGAGGTTTGTAAGGTTCAGCAATCCCAGTGTCCAAAAACCAGGGGAATCTTCTTTGGCCTCACCTGGAGTCCCGTGTCCAGTTCTGGGCACCAAGATTTAAGAAAGATGCAGGCAAATGAGAAAGGGTCCAGCGGAGGGCGACAAAATGATCCAGGGTTTGGAAACGCTGCCCTGTGAGGAGGAACTGGGGGAACTGGGCATGCTCAGCCTTGAGAAGAGAAGGCTGAGGGGGGACACGGTGTCCCTCTCAAAGGATCTCAAAGGCTGCCACAAAGAGGAAGGCCAAGGTCTCTTCTGGCTGATCCCAGAGTGCAGGACTCGGAATAATCAACTCAAGTTGCGACAACCCGCTACTTGAGATCAGAGGGAGAGGCCCTTCTCCGGGAACCCTCCGTGAAGGATATTAGGAGGGCGAGTACCCAGAGGAGGGCCTTCTCTTTGGTGGTGCCCAATCTATGGAATGCGCTCCCCAGAGAGGTCCGCCTGGCACCATCATTATATGTTTTTCGGAGCCAGGCCAAGACCTTTTTATTTAAGTGGCATTTTAATTGTTAGCTTATTTATTGATTTTATATCTTTGGCCAGGGCGTTTCCAATTATATTGTTTTTATATGATTATATGTAAGTATTAATTGTTGTAAGCTGCCCCGAGGCTTTGGCGAATGGGGCGGCATAGAAGTTTACTAAATAAATAAATATATAAATAAACCCAGATTCAGGCTGGACATCAGGAGACGCTTCCTCACTATCAGAGCAATGCGACAGTGGGACCAGCTGCCTGGGGAGGTGGGGGGCTCTCCCACACTGGAGACACTCAAGAAGAAACTGGGCAGCCACCTGAGTGGGATGGTGTGAACTGGTGTCCTGCAAGAGCCGGTGTCGTACTCGACGGTCTTCATGGCCCCTTCCAGCACTTCTGTTCTATGATTCAGTGATTCTGGAGCCAAGCCAGGGCCTCGTGGCCTTCCGGGGAGAGCGGCCTTGACGCTGCCTTCCCCGGCCATTCTGCAGGCAAGGCTGCTGGGAGCCCGTGCGCAAGCCGGAGCACCCCATGGCAAGAGGGGCTGGGCCTTCCTCAGTGAAGCCCCCCCCCCCCAAATAAACACGGGCACATCTGGTGGAGTGTTTGCCCAGGGAGAGCAGACAGGCGCAGGCGCTCTGCCAGGGATGGGGAGGAGGTAGCCGAGGCGACAGCGAGAGCCGGAGAGGGTCCTCTAGGGCGGGCCCTCGCCCCCGCTCCCCAGCTGCGCAAGCAAGGGCAGCCTGCCCGGCCCTGCTGAGACGGCGGGGAGTGCCTGAAGCCCGGCTCTGTGGCTGGCGCCCGAAATCCGCCCGCAAGGCAGGCAAAAGGGAGGCAGGCGTTGGGGAGGGGGCTGCTGCTTCAGAGCAGCTGCAGAAACCTCGTGCGCCTGCCCTCCATTCTGAAACGGCTCTGTGGAAGGGGCACCTGCGCCCTGTACTTGCCACTGGGCACTGGAGCTCAGCCAGGACACCAGCCCAGTCCTCGGGAGGGAGCGCGCACGTCTGCCCCGCACCGTGTGCTCTGAAGCGCTCCGGTGCGTGTGGACCGCTGCCCAGAGCCAGGGCGGGCGGGTGGCTGGAGTGCTGGGCTGGGGACCCAGGAGGTCTGGGACCCAGCCCCCACCTGGCCACTGGCTTCCCTGGCCGAGGCTCCCAGGCCGCCCTCCCTCATGGGGCGGTTGCTGGGAGCCTAAACTGCGGTTTTCTTAGCCACCTTGGGTTCTCAGGAGAGGCCAATGGTAGGATATGAATGCAAAGTAACAGTAGGAAGAAATACGACCATTTAATGTTTGTTTGCAGCGTGTTGAATCAGGCTTGTAAAGAGCCACCCTCCTGGCAAAAAAGGGGGGGAAGCAAAGGAGAGGGAGGCTGGAAATCATTTTGGACACCCCCCCCCCGCCTTCCTGCTCTTTCAGACCCTCAACGCAGCACGGATGTCCAGAGCAGCTTGTGCAGGCAGGACGCACCGTGGGCTGCCCAGTGAAGATTCCCACCTGTCTTTGGGGAGCTCCAGGGGCCGCCGGGGGGGGGGTCCCATTGCATGTTCAATCTTGGGGCTAAGGGAGCTGCAGCCCCCGCAGGGGCCAGTGGTCGGCCCAGGTTCCTGGCTTTCAAGGAGCAGCGGGGGGACCCGGTCCCCAGCCCTCGCAGAACCCCGCCGCAAGGTGAAGCTGGCCATGCAGCTTCCGGTCCTTTTGTGGGAAACAGGCGCTCCGTTTGCCCCACTGGATGGCGAAGAGTGCCCCCCCCCCGCTTCAGTGGGGCTGGCCAAGGGCAGGAGGCACCACTGGGTCGGGGAAGCGCAGAGGGAAGGCAAGAAGCCCGCGGCCTGTGGTTCAGTCTGAGCATGCGCGGACCTTCCTCCTCCTCCTCCTCCTCCTCCTCCTCCTCCTCCTCCTCGGTCCAGCTCGGTGGCGTTGTGGTCGCTGCCCACTGAGCAGTCCAGCCTTTGGGAGCAGCCGTGCCGGGGCCGCGGCAGGAGGGGCGGGGGTCCCCCCGCTCAGTCTCCTCTCGCGCAAAGCACTCCCGGCTGCTTCACCGCACTTGTGGCCACTGGACGAGCGCACAGACCTGGCCGGCCGAGGTGCCCGTGCTGCGTGTGGCGGGGGCTGTGCCCAGGAGACCCGGCGGGCGCCGGGTGCAGCAACTCAGGGAATGCGTTGCAGGGAGTTCGGGCGGGTGGGGGCCAAACTGGCACACCCCTGGCAGCACCTGGGCGCTCACGATTTGCAGAACACCCCCCCCCCCGAAGGCTCCCATCTTCTGCCTGAAAATCAGCATCAAGAAACTGTTCTCAAAGGGAGGGTGAGGAAAGTTCTCGCAATACCTCAAAAAACACCAGCCCCGGGGGCGGGGGGGGGCAAGTCCTGGTGGGTGCCAGAGCTGCAGCAGGGCCGGTGCTGAGGAGGCGGCGGTTGCTGTGGGGCAGGTGGACAGGGCTCCTTGACCCGAGGCAGCTGGCCTGCATGCGCCTGATGCTGAGGAGCTGGGCAGGAGGAGGGCTTGCCCCCCCGAGGGATCCCGTGGGCGGCTGGTTCGCCCCCGTGGGCATGGAGCGGATGGGCCGTATTCTGACCCGGTCCAGCAGCACTGCTCTTGCCTCCTTCGGTTCTCACGAATGCCAGGCAAATGCCATGCGCCTGAGACGTCCCTGAAGACTGTGCAGGGCCCACGCGACTGCCCCGGCACACGGATGCGCGGCCCAGCACACCGGGGCAGCTGGGGGTGGCAGTGGCAGAGCAGGGGCCGGTCCGCAAAGGGTGAGCAGAAGCGAGGGCCGGCTGGGCGCTCGGAGGGCCTTAGCCGAGAAAGCGGCGCCTACCCGGCGTTTTAGGCCAGTAATGCCTGGCAGGACACCGACAGCGGCCGAAACCACCTCTCCCCTTCTGCCTCAGAAGCAGAATTCTGCAGAAGCTCGTCTGCAGCCTTGGGGACACATTACGAAGGGGAAACTTCCACCAAGTAAGGTGGAATTTTCCATGAACTTTCCTCCGCAGGAAAGCGTCTGTGTATCTGTGCTGCGGCAAGCGCAAGGTCACCGACGGGATAAATACGCTGCCTTTAGCAGGCCATGTTTCGCCAGGAGAGCGAGGCAGCGGGCTGGGCTGCACCCGGGCGGCCATGCCCGTTTCTGGCAGCGTGTGCCGCAGTGCCGTCGCTTCGCAGACCAGGGCGGCCTCCCCTGGCCCGGCACCCTCCAGATGTGCTGGACACGCACGTACCGCAGAATCGGCGCACTGCTAATTGCACAGAAACCCTCCCGTTTCAGGTTGCCACTGGCTGCAGTGCTGCGTAACTGCTGAGAGGCCTCGGGTCTGGGGAGCTGCCGAGATTCCCCAAAGAGCGCGGATGCGTGCGATTCAGCCACACGGCTGGCAAATTAAAGCGCAGCTTGGTGCTGCACGAGGGCCGTCGCCTGGTTTCCCTCTGTGCGTGTGCATCTCTGGGCCATGCGCAGGCACGTGCTCCTGTGGGCACCTCGGCACCAGACCATGGAGAAGCCTGCATTTCGCAAAAGCGCCACAGCACTTTCTGGGGAAACCGCGCAGGGCCCGTTGCCGGGGGCTCCGGCAGCCCCAGCAGCTGGCCAAGCGTTGGTGGTGCGATCCTCACCGCCACCGTGAAGGCCACCCACAGCGGGTCCCTGGCCACCTGGCCCCCACCCCATGCCTGTCCCGGGCTGGGCAGGGTGACCTGCAGGGGCATCCTCTGGACCACTGGGCCGGAGAGTCCTCGCCGTGAGCCGAACGTCCCACCGGCCACCCAGGGCTCCACAGGCAGGCCACCCACTCCAGAGCCGTGACCTTCCCCAACCTGGTGCCCCCAGGCATGCCGGCTGGCAACTCCCCTTGATGCCTGGTTGGGAACACTGCAGTCCGGCTTGACGCCTGGCACCTCGGGGCGCTAGGTGTGGCTACACAGTAGGGAAGCAGAGCCACTCTGCACACGCACAGAGACACGGTTCTTTCTCAAATTCCAGGAGAGAGCCCCAGGACTGAGGACACGTCCTCCTGCCGCGGGATGCTGAACCGCCCCTGCTGCTCCTCTCCAGCTTGACCCGCGAGGGAGGCTGGGCCGGCCGGAGCCGGGGGTGCGAGCAGCAAGCAGGGCCCAGTGCACCCCGCCCCCCCCCCCCCCCACCGGGCAGGGGCACCCCTTTACTTCAGTAGGTGTGAAGGCCCCCCCCCCCCCAAGAAATACATAGATCACACCAAGGGAGACTCTCTCCCTCCAGGGGCCAACCAGATACCTCCAAGAAGCCCACGAGCTGGTCTGGAGGGGGCAGGGGGCTGCAGTCCTGGGAAGGGGGCAGGGGAGCGTGGCTGAGGCTGAGGCCGCCGGGGGGGGGGGGCCCCAGCAGCCCCCGGGGGGGGGAGGGGAGGAGGGGGGGGGGGGGGGGGCTCCGGGGGGGGGGGGCTCCAGCAGCTCCCTGTGAGGAGCAGGGACAACTGGGGTGGGGGGGCTGCTCAGCCTGGAGGAGAGTGGGGGAAGGCGCAAGCAGGGTAGTGGCTGCTTGGGGTCCTCGCAGGAAAACCGACCAGCCTGACGGGGTCCCCCATGAAGCCGACGGGAGGGAGAGGAGGACGCAGCGAGGAGTCCCTCACATGGGGCAGGTTAAGCCGTGGGACTTGACCCATTCCTGAGGAGGCAATGCGCGGCTGCTAGCGCCGATGATGGCCGTACAGAGTGCAGCAGGGGAACATGGGTGCGGGAGCGCGGCTGGGGCCCTTCTGAGGGGAGCTGGGCAGCCCTGCAGAGGAGAAGCCTGGATGGGCCGTCTCGCCCCATCGCTGCTCCGCCTCCTTGGGGTCCGGCGCCTCCTTTCCCCGTGCAGGGCGGGGGCGGCGGCTCTCGCCCCCCCCCCCGATCCCTGGCTGAGTCGGGGGGACACGCCAGGACGACCCCGCTCTTTGCCCGAGTCCCCGGCGGCCATCGCCCGAGGAGGGCAGGTCCGGCCAGACGCACGGAGGGTCTGCCCATCCCGTGCCCGCCACGTCGGCTGCACCACCACTCCCATCATCCCCAGAGAGCGTGCCCTTCCGGCGCCGCTTCGGCCGGCGCGGGTGGAGCAGCAGCGCCCCCCGGTGGATCGCGCGCCCCTCGCCCCGGGCCCGGGACGCTGCGCGGGCGGCGGCGGCGGGGACGCGGCTGCAGCGACCGGCCGGCCGGCCGGGCCGCCTCGGGAGCGTGCCCTGCCGCGGAAGGGGCGCTTGCGGGCCTCTGC